CTCTCTCTGCTGGACTGCCCTCTGGCCACTGGCCTCCCTCCTGGTCTCCTGCCCTGCCCAGCAAGCCCCTTTTATCTGCCAGCAGAGAGGTGGGGTCCCTGTGAGGTCACAAAGACCCAGGAGAAAATGGGTTGGGTTCCCAAGGCAGCAGCAGCAGCCTCAGGATTAGCTGAGTCCTGAAGATGATGTCAACAGTCCCTCTGATCATGTCATTCACCCACAAAAGCTTGCATTTTGCATGATTTTTTTTAATTTGTGGCCTATTAATGTATCCTCTGTCACCAATGCCTCTGATTGTTAAATCTCCCCATGTTGGCCTTCTGACAGGATTCTAGGCTGGTGCTCCAAAAAGTTATCTTCCAGCATTTGCACCAAAAGGAACTTTCCTAAGCCCTGAGCTAGGGGGAAAAATGAAAGTAATAAATGAATAAGGATGGGCGCAGTCACACAATGAAGCCATTGACTCTTTTTTTCTTGCCTCTTTTTGGACATTTTTATCTTGCCCTTGCCATGAAAAAGATATTATAAGGACCCCGTTAAGAAAACAACCTAAGTGTTTGAAACACATACGAGTATTTTAACACCATCCCTGCACTATCAAGGACTCTCCCAGCCTTTGGAACTCCCTCCCACTGGAAGGCAGATTTGCCCCACCAGTAAGTATTTATTTGTTAATACCACACATTGGGGGGGGGGAGGGCGGGAACAAGCATTTAACCCTTGCAGTGCAGGAGCAGTTTTTTCTAAACTAATACCTCAGCATTCAGGTTGTAACTGTAGTATTGGCACTTTGAAATAAGTTGATTTGGTGTTGCAGTTTGGGCACTCAGGCTCAAAAAGGTTCACCATCACTGAGCTCGCCCACCATGTTAACAAAGCAGAAGGGGTTCTTGAATTAAGGACACCAGACATTCTTTTTGTTTGCCATATGGGAGAATCTGTTGTGTGAGGATTGACAAAACTTGCCTGGTGCTGGATTGGGGTTCAACATAATTTTTTAGATTTAATTACTTAAGATCTTTAAGGGGGGGAACCCTCATTATCAAGCTGTCTGAAATGAATTATATACTAAAAACTAATCATAATCATTGTCGTTTAGTCGTGTCTGACTCTTCATTACCCCATGGATCAGAGCACACCAGGCCCTCCTGTCTTCCACTGCCTCCCGGAGATGGGTCATGCTGGTTGCTTTGATGACACAGTCCAACCATCTCGTCCTCTGTCGTCCCCTTCTCCTCTTGCCTTCACACTTTCCCAACATCAGGGTCTTTTCCAGGGAGTCATCATCATTATCTGCCATCAAGTCTAGTTGTACCAACCCTACTAAATGTTCCTGTTGGGTTTTTCTAGGTACAAAGCATTCAGAAGTGGTCCTCCTTCTGGTAGACCTTTACAACTGTAATGCTGCCCAGGTGGTAGGAGCACATAAACACAACCACAGACTCCAAGACAGCCTTGTGGGTCTTTTTCTTGGGGTTCACAGTGGAGATCAAAGCTGTTGACTGTGGGTCATGCAACTGACAGAGCCATGTCACCCAATAAAGCAAGGTTGAGAATAATTAGTCACAGGAAGAGTTTGGAAGTTCCTGCTTGAGTAGAAACTTCTATACTCCCCTTTCTTTTCAGGCTTATTTTTTTAAACCCGATGACTTTAGAAATGGGGAGGTAAAACAACCCTTCTCACTGCATTTCAAGAGGCAGGATGCACAAATAATGTTTCAACACTACAAGTTTCTCCCCCAGCATCTCATCAATCATGTGAGTCTGGTCAGAGTTCCTGCTTCTTTTACACAGCTGATTGCTGACAGGAGCAGTTCATTTTCTTTTAGCAGAAGGTCATTAAGACAAAGTTAAGCCTTCTGTCTCCTTCCTTTTATTTGTCTTCCTCCAGACTGGTAGCTTGCCCTGCAAGTGCTCCTTCTTTGCAAATACTCTTCCTGCATTATTTACCCCCTCTTACCCCCTCCATCATCATCTTAGAACCATTGAGCTGGAAAGGACCTTATGGATTATTCATTCATTCCATTTGTATCCTGCCCATCTAATGCCCAAGCACTACTCTGGGTGGCTAATATAGTTATTAAAAGCACAACTGCCCAGCCAGCCCATAAAGACGTAAATAATGAGATTCAGACCAAAGCAGGTATAAATCAAAATATAAAATAAACCTAGAGCCAACAGTTAATCAAGAGCAGTATCCCATTCATGGATCTACGAGGATGTCAAGGGGGTAAGAGGTTTCTGAAGGCCTCTTCAAACAGTATCATTTTTACCTATTTCCTAAAGGCCAGAAGGGAGGGAGCCTGGCAGATATCCATGAGTAACACATTCCATAGTGTTGAGGCCACCACTGAGAAGGCCTGGCTCTGGGTTGTAATTTTTGGGGCCTCTCTGGGGTGGCCACCCACAACCGCAAAACCTGGCAATTGAGCCCAGCATCTCAAAAGATTTTGGACGAGTTTCTGTGAACATGGCCCAGTGGGCCGTAACCCTGAAAGCTCATGCTGAGTAAAATGTGGTTTAAGCATGTCATAAGGTTGTTTATTGTTTTGGGGGCATGGCAGTTCAACACAGTGACACTCTGAGAAATTTCTTCCCAATGTAATGAATGGTGAGCAGGCATATTTTCTGAGCCAAGCAGACTATTATCAATCCAAGGCAATTTGATAACGGCGTAATTTGATAATGGTGTAATGGGGACTGTGGAAGAAGTTTCACCTGCTGAATTTCTGTCTGCCATGCCATTGTTAAAGAAGCACAGCCTTTGAAGGGGGCAGAGATGGCAACTCCAAGCAACAGTTGTGTGAGAAGCAAGTTATTTCTAAATAGAAGTGAGAAAAGCAGGGGAGGGGGGGTTTCTTAACAGATACCCCAAGACTGCCTGATGTCAAAAGTCCATGATGTCTGAGACCTCACATTGGTCTTCAGTTGATACCCTGATCAACCATTCCATGGTATCTTACAATTCAGGAAAAATCAGGAAAAGGCTGTATAGTCATGGAAATCATACAAAAGCATTTTGATGCCCATCAGGGCATTAACTGAAGACCAGTGTGAGTTCTTTGACATCATGGACTTTTGAAGGGGTCAAATTAATACATATAATATACAGTATGTATCTTAGCCTAAACATAACAACTTTGCTTAATGTAACTTGCTTTGCTACATAAACAGTATGTACAGTATCTTAGCCTAAACATAACAAGTTTGCTTAATGTAACTTGCTTTGCTACATAAATGTATAAACCTATTGTGTCAGGGTTTCTGCTTAGCATATAAGAATAGACAAGTGGGGGGGGGGAGGCTGTCTGAATTGCTGTTGCTTGCAACTAAAGTTGCTTGCAACTAACTCAGAATGGGGGGGGAGGCTGTCTGAATTGCTGTTTATTGCAACTAAAGTTGCTTGCAACTAACTCAGAATGTGTCCTTGGTCAGCGATAAGGGATCTGGAGGTCTAACCGCCTGGAACTGAAAGGGATGATGTCTACAATCCCTCCTCCTCCTCATCCCTTGCCTCCCGCTTCTCATTTAAAACTTATAAAAGTATATTCTGTCATGAGTGTGGCACACTCCTTCTCCACATGTTTTCTGCGAGTGAAGTTTGCCACTATTTGCTGGCTTTCAGATGAAAATAAACAATATCTATTGATCTCTCTGTCTCTGGCTGTTTGATTAATGCATTAGAGACAGGCAAAAAGCCAGGAAATAGTCTTGGCACCCTTCGCGTTTTACATCAAACAAGCAGTCGTGCATGTTAAAGAAAGCATCCACCAGGTCAAATTATCTATTTGGCTTTAATTTATTTATTATTTATTTCTTATTATTATTTATTTCATTTTTATACCACCCATTTGGCCGAGGCCACTCTGGGTGGTTTACAGCATATAAATTCCATCAAGTACCATTTAATATAACAAAAATTAGAAATAACAAAATACAAATAAACAATAAACTCAAAACATCAAAAGAAAACATTTAAAAATATTCAAAGCATTTAAAACATTTAAGATGGTGGACATTTGACAGATAGGCTAATTAGCTGAGCTTGCAGGTATGATGTTTTCCAAATAGGTAGTTTTTTAGTGATTTGACCAAGATTACCTATCGCCAAATGTAATCCAGTCCTCTCAGCCCATTAATTCGGGGAAGCATCCGTACAGTCAGTTCCTGGGGAGTCGTCTGATTTCCTGTTTATAACACCTGATGGTCAGATGTATATACGTGTGTGTGCTCTATGCTTACAGCGACCCTAATAAGGTTTTCAAGTTAAGGGGGACATTTAAAGAGTGGTTAAATGTCCCCAGGGCATTTCCATGTCCACGAGGTGATTCAAACCCTGCTCTCCACAGCCCTGGTCCGTCCCTATATCCACGAGAACATATACGACACTGCCCCATTACTGTACTTGGAAGTTTCATTTACCGACAATTTTGTGATCAGCACTTATTTATTGGCAAAACTTGGAAGCGTCTGGCTCTCCAAACATGTTGTGATGCAAGTCGTTTCCGCTAAAAAAATAAAAATAAAAATAAAAACAACCCTTACGTCCCACCCACCTCGCCCGCCTTGGTGATTGCAAGTCGTTTTTGTTTTAATACTCTCGGAAAACCCCAAAGACCGACGATGGAACATACAGCCCTCCCCTTTAAGGCGCCATTGGACGTCCTTCCCTTTAAGAGCTCCTTCCTATTCGCTTCCCAGTGAGTTTCAAGCTATTACGTCTCGTCCCTTCCCCTCCGCGTTCGCCAAGGTTGCCAGGACGCATGCGCAGCCCGGGAAGTTCTTTCTGGTTCTGAAGCGGTGGATCCACGCGGGGACTTGGGGCTGCCAGCAGGTGCTATGGTGAGTGTGCGTGTGTGACGTCAGAACTCCCTTGCTCTTGCCCCGGTTCGAGGCTGGGATGGGGCTTGTGATGGGCACCGGAGAATCTTCTCTAAGATACGTGGGTCTCCTCACCCCTGGCGTTGTGCGCTGGTGGCGTGGCCTCAGTTTGAGTAGAGAGGACAAGGTGGAACCCCATGGAGATGGGGGGGGTTGAGGGACGGGCATTGTGGCCCTATGTTGTGTTGTGGGGGAAAGGCAACACGGCTTGTGCCCACCTTAAAGCTTGATTGTGGTGGGGTGCAGGGTGGGCGCACGCCCTCTTTGAAGGAGGGCAGCCCCGCACCTCCATGGCTGCTAGAGCACAGTCCTTCTTTTTGAGGGTGCCCTTCGTTTGACGATGAAGAGGAGAAAAAAGGAAGATCAAAGATCAGGTGCCTTCAAGATCAGATGCCATTCATGGTGAACATCCCTACCCTCTGGGATACCAGGCACAGCCTTTCACAGCCATGGGGGGGGGTTGTTGTCCTTCTGTTTAAATGCTGAAAAGAATTCCTAGTTTTGCATCTGCACATGTAAACCGACATGTACAAATCTGTGGCTTGTTTTGTTCTCCTTTTTTGTAGATGTTTCCATGACGGTGTGTAATGGTGAAAGTAGGCAAGCTATAAGTTTCCACTCAGGCACAAAACATCATGGGGGCAATTGCATTTTGGGAAACTTATCTGTTTCACCTGGGTAGGTGGGGCTTGTCAGCCCTGGAAGGCAGCCCATCTAGGAGAAGGACAACTCAGATTTCAAACCTCCACTGCCTTGTGGCTCTATCCACTGATGGAAAAGGCTTCAGGAATTAACCTCAAGGCAAAATCCAGAGCCAGAGTCCCAGTGGCAGTTCATGTCGTTCTGGCAACTCCTGCGATGTTGCTGGAACCAGTTGTATTGGCCCTGGCATTTCCATTGGACCATTTCAGCAACGTGGAGAGGGGGGGGATCTGCTGCTTGGGTAACAGCCTATCCTCCGTATTACTTTACCCAGGCTTTATCCTCTGGAGAGGACCCTCTTGATTCAGAGCATGTTACCATAGTCTCTTCAGAGCATGTTACCATAGTGCTCTCGAGACTGAAGGATGCCTATGAAGGGCATTTGGTAAATATAAAAATAAAAACAAGCCTGATCCATTTGTTTTTGGGTGCAAAACAAGGAGCCATTCAGAGGTGCTGGGGGGAAAATCCCTGACATTTTTAGCAAAGAAAGACGAACCTTTTTGGTAAAACTGTGCAAAGCAATTGGTGATATTGTGAGCTCCATTATGGAGAGGAAGTTTAAAAGACTGTAATGTTGAAAGGTGAATATACATTAATGCAAGTTACATGTTGGGGAATCTAAACTGAGTCTGCAGTGGAGCTGGAAAAAGATGCTTTTTTTTAACTACAACTCCCAGAATCCACTGCCAGCGTGGCACAGGGAAATACTGGAAATTACTCTAAAAAAGTAACCTTTTAAAGCTTCGGTTTCCAGAGAAATGCATGTTTGCATTGCGGTGTATTTGACACATTATTCTTTCCTGCCAAACAGTTTAGGAAATGTGGAATTTTTTGTTGTTGTTGTTTCTCAGAATTTCCTATCGCTTGGTGACTTCTTGTGTTCTCTTGTTCTTTTGTCTTCTCTTTGGCTGATTGCCTAGCTCTTCTACTCCTTCTTCAAGTCCCTAGTAGGGAAGGACGTGGTGGTTGAGTTGAAAAATGACTTAAGGTAGGTCTGGTTTTTTTCCCTGCTGGTTGGATATTGCCACCTCTGAAGATAACTCAGAAGTCCTGGTTCCGGAGTCTCAGTCTCTTTCTCCATGTCCCTCTCTGCCTGCAGTCCCCAGTTTCCACCCCTGGAAAGAAAGAAAATGCAGGACTAGTTTTGCAAAGGAGGTGACTGTGTAGCTTGTGCCCTCTTTTCCACTCATGGTATGGAATCAAAGCATACTGGCAGTTTTAGTTTCCTTTTAGCTTTTGAGTGTGGGACAACCTCCTCCACTACACACAAGGATAGCAGGCTGGTTTGGGGAGTGCCTTTCAAGAGAGTTGACATGCTCAGGAGAAATGACCTGCCTTTGATGCCCACTTGCCCCGGTATGTGCCACCTGCGGTTATTGCCTTGATTTGTCTAATGGTAGGGCCAGGCACAATCCTAATTAAGTTCCGTTGTGCTGATAGAGATCTCCTGTTTCATGGCTAACTTTTAATTGTCTTCCTCTTTTTATATACAGTATATGCGGGACTCTACACTCTGTGGATCAGGTATGAATACCCTCCTGAGTTGAACTTTATGTATTAATATAATAGCCTGACTTATTCTTAGAATGTGGAGTAGATAATTCAGGGTGTGGAATAGTAGATGATAATACTACATCTGTTCTGCTATTGGCCAAAGTTTATATGTCCCAATGGTCATTCTGTGAACCTAGCCCTAAATTCTTTAAATCTTAAGTAATCTTAGAACTGCAGAGCTGGAAGGGACCCTGTGATTACAGCCAGAACTGTAAATCAGGCCTGAAAATTCTCTCACAACCGGCACAGCTACTATTGAATTGGTGTTATATGTTCAGCTGTCTGGATATCTCAGTGAGTGAGTAGAGGCAGAGATGAGGAGGTTGGTTCTTTGCTGTAGCTCCTTGGAGAAGAGCCAGCCTCTGTAGCCGTGGGCAGGCTGCACAGTCTGAAAACACTCCTACAAGAAAGGAATAGTGGATGACCTCTGAGCATCCTGTACCTAGAAAGCTGTGCAAAAAAAGGATCACCATATGTTGGAATCAACAGGATGACATGTCGTTATTATGTGTTTGTATTGTTGTGTGTGAGCAAAAATGTCATTCTGCACCAGCTGAAGCTTTTGAGCCATGGTTAAAGACCGCCCTGTGTAGAGCACACTACATGTGACCAGGGTAGGGATAACAGAACAGATTTTGTGCATGAACATTAATAACTGCGCTATAAAGTGATGGCCCAGGTATGTGAATGAGTAATTGCAGAGAGAGGATTCCTGTTGCACATCCCACCCACCTACCTGCCTGTCTTCTCTGGACTTTGCAGTACCTGAATATCAAGCTCACAGACATCAGCGTGACGGATCCAGAGAAATACCCTCACATGGTGAGTCCTAGACATAGGCTGATGGGAGCTGGCATGGGGTAAAAAGTACAGACCAACATGGCTGTAGCAATGACTCGCATCTTGCTAGCTTTTAGAAGGGGGATTTCTAGTCTCTGAGGCAGCCTGTGGAGGTTTCCCACCTAGTCGGCAACTGTCTGTAATTATTTCCAAAGAGTGACTAGAATAAGAGGCTACATAAAATCTCTGAAGTGTGGCTGTGTTTTGTATTTGGGGAGATGTTAGCATAGGGCAGGGGTGGCGAACCTATGGCACACGTGCCACAGCTGGCACGCAGAGCCCTCTCTGTGGGCATGCGAGCAATGAGTCACCATCACCATTGGAGGACCAGTAAATATTTCTCTGTTAATACCACCCCTAGGAAAAAAAAGAAGCATTTAACCTTTACAATACAGGGGCAGTTGTTTTTAATTAAAACCTCAGTATTCAGATTTCATTGCAGTGTTAGCACTTTGAAATAAATAAGTTGGTTTTGCGTTGCAGTTTGGGCACTCAGGCTCAAAAAGGTTCACCATCATTGGCATAGGGGCTTCTTACTACAGAGTAGACATGCGTAGAGTTGAGCTGTGCTTTTGTATGCTTGGTGGGAGAAAATGTACACATTAGTATGAATTTGCTGTAACTGGATTAGAACATTTGCTTTGTGTGCAGGTGCTCTCGAGCAAAACCTTCATGTCTTAAGTTGGGGAGAGGAAACAATTTTGCCTAAAGCTTGTTTCCTGTCAGTCACTATGCAGAATTAGGCTTGATAGACCAATGCGCTGATTTGATACAAGCCCGTTTTCTCTGTTGCTCTGCTACTGCACCAGCACCTGTACTGTTGTGTGTCAATACTTTTGTTCTTTACCTCAAGAAGGGATGGAGGAGAGAGACCTTATAGCATCTTAAAAAGAGGAACAAATTCTATTTGCAAGAAGTTTATGTGGACTGTAGCCCATGTCTTCAGATGGGGGCAGTTCTGTGAAGGATCGAGCACTTAACATTGTTTTTAAGAACCAGAAAACAGTTAAAAAAAAAAACAGACAGTAGAAACACATCCTTAAATTTTTTTCTGCCCCTTTCCTAGCTATGAATAGGCCATGCAGATTAAGAAATGGGCTGCTCCTTCATGATAGCTTTACAATATTTAGTTATTACTGATTGATTTATTACATTTCTATCCCGCCTATCTAGTGATAAGCCACTACTCTTGGCAACTAGTAACACACAAGCCACCCATGTATCCACCAGAAACCATCCAAATCATAAAAAAAAGATAAGGAAAAAACCCTCCAAAGGCGATGGCAAACTAATTTAAAAAATACAATCGTATAAAACTGATCAGTTTTTAAGGTGCCATAAAAACCTTGGTGCTTTTTTTTCTCCTTGCAACGGATGAATGTGGTGAAGTCAGTAAAATGGAGAGAACTTCCTTTTTTAAAAAAAAAAACGCACCCCTTGTTCTCACAACAGCCCTGTGCGGTAGACCAGGCTCATAGCAACCAAACCACAGTTCTCTGCCCCATGGGCTTCGTGGTGGAGTGTAGATTTTGAATCCATTGCTTGTCGTCCCAATTCTGCAGCATGTCGTGCTCTTCTGTTCCAGCTTTCCGTCAAGAACTGCTTCATTCGAGGCTCCGTCGTCCGCTACGTCCAGCTGCCGGCCGATGAGGTGGACACCCAGCTGCTGCAAGATGCGGCGCGCAAGGAGGCCCTCCAGCAGAAGCAGTGAGGGCTGCTGCTCTTCCCCCAACCCCTTTCCCCTGTCTTGCCTGCTCCCTTAAGGGAAGTGTTGCAGGATGTGGGGAAACCCTGCCAATTTCTAAGAGAGGGAACCACCGAGAATTATGTGTGTGTGTGTACGCATTTAGCCAAGGTGTACTTCTGATGGTTGAAAGAAGGTGTATCCATAAGTATTCATGTTTTGTTTCCATTCCTCCAGTGGAATCTGTAATCTGAGTTTCCTTGTTCATAATTTTGGGGGAAAGGCCTGGAGTCTTCTGTGTTATTCCGGGTAGGTGGATCCGAGACTGAGTAACAGCAGCAATTTTTCCCCTACCTCTGTAGAGCCTCGTAGCTCGTTGGTTTCGTTTTCTCTTTTCATCCCATTCAGCATTTCGTTTCCATGCCACGGCTTCAGGATGGAAAAGGGTTGTTGTTTTTTTGGGCAGAAGGCTCATGTCCCCTTTCATCATGAATAGCTCCCCTGCAAACTTTGGCTTCAACCTTCCCTCACTAGGGGTAGGTCTGATTGTGTTGGAGTAAAACTCTCGTCTCCTCTGGGAGCGATGGGAGTTGCACTCCAACTCTTTTGAAAGGCTGCTGAAAAGTTGTTTTGATTAAGCATTGGCCACAGTGGGTGGACATGTTGGTCCACATGGACCACTAGCCCTTTCTGCTGCTTAGCAAGAGAGAACTAACACTGAAGATGCTTCATACTTAATTTAATGCATGAGGTGAGCGATCAGTATAAATTGTTCCTTTCTTAGCATTTCTGCAGGAGCAAAAGGGACACCGTGACTTTAAGCCCCATGAACCTTGGCTGCCCATTTTATTTCGGAGCACCAGTCTATGGCACTGCTTCCCAACCTTGGGTCCCCAGATGTTCATGGACTGCAACTCCCAGAAACCCTGGCCAGCACAGCAGGTGGTGAAGACTTCTGGGAGTTTTAGTCCAAGAAACATCTGGGGACCCAAGGTTGGGAACCACTGATCTACAGAATTCCATTCAATGGCCAACTCTAGGCTGCTTTATTAATAAGCATTGCAGATTGTAGTACAATGATCTCTTGTACCGCTAGAGGCCACAATAAGCAAAGCTGTGCTTCCTTTTGAAGCAAAGTCAAAGTTCTTCACTTACTGTTGCCAGGAAGAGAGAAATAATCCTCTTGGGTTTGTGTCTCTGAAACGATGTTATCCTGGTGGCTTCTGTGGAAGGGGTGGGTCTCTCTGTGTTTTTTTTTTAACAATGTGTTTTTTTGAAATAATGTATAAAATAATTTTGGAAAAATAAAATGTTGCATTTGAAAGATGGTGGCAGTTCTGGGCAAGGCCCAACATGTGTCATTTTTAAAATGACAAAACAAAGCTAAATATAAACAACACACAATAATGTGTCCCTAATTTATCCTACTTTTTTTCCAGTTGTGGCTAAACAAAGGAGCTGTGGGGGTCCCATTTGATGGTTTAATAGGTGTTTTTAAGTAGGGTCTGTCCTTTCCAAGCCTCTCCCTTCATAGCTTAAGGGCTAAAAATCGGTACTGTATTTACATATAGATACATGGCTGATAGATTCCTTGTGTGTATATTTGCAGCCATGTAGGTTCCACCAAGCTAGTGAAACGTCCTATCTTGCCTAATGTGAGGTTTGTCTAAAACAGGAACAGTTCTACAAGTGGAGTGCAGGTCCGGTGTTCGTTGTCTGGAACACAGTCCCTCACTATTGGTCATCATGACAGGCGTTTCTTGGATTTGAAGTTCAAGACACCGGCAGGACGATAGAGATTTCCATGTCTGCTAAATGAAGTTATAGCCTTTGGCAATGGCCAAGTCCCCAGGGAGCTTAAAATACAGTGCATGTTTTGAACAAAATTTGAATTGGTTCTCAAATTAATTCAACCCAATGAAAGGAATGTTGTGATCATACACTGAGAGGCCGACCCATATTGATGTATGTGTTGTGCACCAATCTTTTTTTCTCACACAAAATAAGGGACAGAATTCACTGGTTTAAAATATATATATATATAAATAATGTGTCATGTGTCAGCTTTTCTCCGGCACAGTTACTTCAGCTTTAGCTCCAGTAGGGTAAACAGAAATCCAGACATCAAGAAAACCAGCCACCGTTGCTGGAGTTGCATACACACAAGGTCCCTGCCTGAAATGCTTCATATCCTGCAGGGTGGGTTGGGGGAAGAGGTTGAGGAATTGCAGCTTTCCTACAGACTCAGCAAGCTTGAAGGCTGTGATAGCAGAGAAAGGATGTGGGCAGATGCAAAGGAAACTTGGGGATTCTTTCTCCTTAGAAGCTTTGCAGAAGAGCAATTCAGCCAGTGCAGTTTTGCAGAATAAGCAGCATTTTTGCATCATCATCTTAGAGCTGCAGAGCTGGAAGGGACCCTATGGATCATTGAATCAAGGAAGCACAGTGGGGAATTGAGCATCCAATCTCTGGCTCTGCGGCCAGATGCTTAAATCTCTGAGCTATCCAGCAATGTCTTTTCCCCACCACCTGTTAAGAGATCCAGGATTTCGGCTCTTCCTTGCACCTTCTGCAGCCATGTCTGCCCTCCGACCCGCAGGCAACATTAAAGCCAACGAAGAGGAACGGTGTGCTGCTTCCTCTATTATTTCCTATCTCTAGAGTCACACGGCGGTTCCAAGCTCATTCTGTCTGTCTGTCTGTCTGTCTCTCTCACACACACACACAGAGAGAGAGAGATTTCGAAAGAACACTGATTTCCCACTCTTCCTTCCTATTCAATAATTAAGATTTATTTATATTACAGTTGTCAGAGGCGAGCGTTACCTTCTCTGCCCACCCTATGAGGCAAAGGTTTCAAAATTTTACCGGAAGTTGAAGAACGTGTATCACTCTATATATTTGTCACCGGCTTTTCGGCATGCTCTATGGTTATGTGGGGCGAGCATAACAAGAAGCCCCTGGGTAGGGGCGGCTAAAGAAGTGCCTGACTTGAAATGACTCAGGTGTCAATCATGGCGTATGATGCAATTCTAAAGTCGTTGGCTGAAATCCTGTCTCCTACTGCAGTAGGTTGCAAGTGGAGTAGATCTACTGAATCAGTTGAATTTGGGAAGGAGTTGATTCGCCCAATCCTCACTGATTCAATGGGCCTTAGGGTGCCTTATTGCACTGAGCAACAGGATTTCAGCCACTCTTATGTTATCCCGTCAGCTGAGACATTCACTGGGTGACCTCGAACATCACCTGTAATTTCTCCGTCCAAGCTACATACTTCACTGGTTGTAGTTTTACAAGAGGTGGCTTGATGCAACACCTCAAGCAGAATCCAAAGAAACAAAACAATTTAAAAAAGGACAAGAATGCGTGTCAGCTTAAAGACTAACCATTATATAATTTATATAGACTAACCATGAAAGCTTATATTAAAATATAATGGTTATTCTTTAAGGTGCCACATATTTTTGTCATTTTATTATTGTTTTGCATATTTGGATTTTGCCTGATATTACTTCACTTGGTTGTGGTGATTATAGAAAAGGGGGAAAACTATTGAGTATTGCCCTGATGTTCTTGATTTAAAGATGGCGTGGAGAGAGAGATAGAGATACTGTAGGTAGGTAGGCAGGCAGGCAGGCAGGCAGGCAGGCAGGTAATTTGCTGCCCTTCCATGGCATCCAAAATCTACAGCTTGTGACAACTGCTTCCTTCTGTCTAGTGACAGAACAGATGTGAGTAATTGGTCTCCCTTGGCATGTTCAAGGCATGCCAACCACTAGTGCAGGCAGGTAGGTAGGTAGGCAAGCAGGGAGGCTGCCAGGCAGGCAGGTAGGTAGGTAGAGAGGCAGGGAGGCAGGCAGGCAGGCAGATAGATAGATAGGGCAGGCAGATAGACAGGCAGGCAGGCAGGCAGGCAGGCAAATAGATAGATAGATAGATAGATAGATAGATAGATAGATAGATAGATAGATAGATAGATAGATAGATAGATAGATAGATAGAAAGAGAGAGAAAGAAAGAAAGAAAGAAAGAAAGAAAGAAAGAAAGAAAGAAAGAAAGAGAAATAACAGGAGCAGTAACTTTTATCCCCTAGCTCTAATTTAGGGGGCTGAAGGATAACCTTCAGTTATTCGGCTACAATAAAGAACGCAACTCTGCAGGCACAGCGCGTTACTGGAACGGTTGTGCTGACGGGTAGGAAGGAGGTGAGACGGAGGACAGCCTCCGTATGGAAATAATCCGTTTCGTAGCAAACTTGCCTCGGTGCTCCTTTGCAGGCGCCGTGACGCAGGCAATGCCGTAGACGGCTACAGGCGCGGTCCTTCTGCAGCAGCGAAAGCCGCACGTGGGGAAGATCAGCGGCCGCCGCCGGCTGGAGGTGCAGGTAAGAGGGGGACCCCGCCCCCTCCCTCCCTCCGCAGGGTCCCAGAAGGCATGGCCGGGGGGGGGGTCCCCAAACTCACCAGATCGGGCCTCCCTCCCTTCCCTTCCCCGAGAGGCTCCTGTGATCTTTGGAGCCAGGTGAAGTTCCTGCATCTTCCCTAAGAAATCGAGGGACTCTGGGCTCCTAGTTGTGTTTCCTGTCTTCCTCCCTCCCTGTGCAGCCCAGTTTTTTTCCCAGTCTCCCCAATATTTTTTTAAAATTTGGAACAACTCTTTCCCGAATTAAAATCACGTTTCTTCCAGAGATAGTAATTCACAAGCTTCTGTCGCGTTGATTTCCTGGCTAGTTTCGTGCGTACCCCTAAAGAATCCAGATTCTTTAGTACGCAAACCTGCTGCTTTTTTTTTTAAAATGTTCCTTATAGGCAGGAGTAAAACTTTTACATTCCTGTTCTTAGAAGAACGGAAGAGGTTATATGAGCTTTTCCCATATGTCAGGTTTATCTGTTTGAATTTTCAGTATTTGATCATTTGACATCCTCAGAAAGTTGTATGCGATACTGTAATATCTAAAAAGTGTTGTGCCATGAAGTTTTTTTTTTCTGACCGATGGCCATCCTATGAATTAGTTTTCTTTGTCATCCACCTTCATGACTGGGGGAGAGCAGTGACAGGAAGACATAGGAGCTAGCCATACTGAGTCCTCTGGGTGAAGTCTCGAGAATAATAGCAGCAATAATAATTCCTGAAAAGCTGCATTCCTTCCTTGTCTAGAAGGGAAACAGGATTTGAAAGTTTGGGGGAACCAAGGATATAAAGCTTCTGCCTGTCTTCCATGAAACAGGTTTCTTCCCCATGGTACTAAATAAGGGATTTCTGCCTCATTCCCACCTCCACTAACATCTTTAAGAGTGTGTGCTTGCTCTCTGCACAGGCGTATTCTGTGTCTTGGGAGAGAGGAGGGTGAATAATGGAGAAAAAAAACCTAAATTTGATCTCTTGCTGTCATTTACATTTGCCTCTTAATAAAAGACACTGATGAATCATTGAAAGACTGCTGCATATTGCATCATCTAAGTGAGAGTACCAGATCCGTCAGGGGCAGGACAGAGGCCAATGTGACTGAACAGGTAGAGGACTCCTCATTTCATATATTGCCCTTCTTATAGATGGGAGGTGAATCTTGTGTTTGGGGAAGCACATGAACTAGTGTGCATGCAGACTAGTAATTTTTTTAAAAAAGAGTTTTGCACACTGGCTTGATGCCCGTAGCTATTCTGGTACAGTTGAGAAATCTATGGCTGCATTGAGATAGAACTGGAAAGGGGCACAAATCTCGGTTTGGAAGCTTGTGCTGGTTCCTTTCCCCTGCCTCCCCAGCCAGTGAATGCCCCATTCACCAGCAGGAGCATGGGCTTGCCTGTCCCGCCCCATCTGAGTGGGCGATCAATCAAGGAGGCGGGGCAGAGAAGCTGGTGCTCCTGTCAGGGACTGG